TGCCAGACGGGTTGCCCTGCTGCTAGGACTTTCATCTGTGTTGGAGTCCGGAGGATCACGCGGAGGTGGGGAGATGAGGATGAGGGGATGGGGATGACGAGGCTGAGGCCTGTCTTCCACGGGCGCGCCCTGCTTTTCCTCGTTGTCCCCTTCGCTGGCTCGATGCGCCTGCTTCCGTCGTCCCCTCTCTCGCCGCTGGCCTTCTTGCAGGCTCCTCGGGCCCCCTCCCTCCCCTTGTTCACTCTTTGCCCCTGTCCCCCCGCGCTGGCCGCAGCCGAGATGTCACCATGAGGACTCTTCTTGTTTGCGATGGGCCCAGGAAGGCTGGATGAGGCCTCCACCACTTCGTCCCCAAGCCAAAATGGCCTGGCGATCGAGAAGTGTGGCAAGGTAGCGGTGGCCACACGCAGTCCGCAGCGAATCCTATTCATCCAAGCCCCTCCCTTCGCTCTCTCCCCCTCTCCCCCCCTCTCCCCCCCCCTCTCCCCCCCTCTCTCCCCCCCCTCCCCTCTCCCTCGCTCCCACCAGATGACGCGCACGCGCGCACCAGAGAGCCGAGGGCTCCAGCCCCCTCCGCGAAGGTCCACATGGACAGCCCACCCCGGCGGTACCGCGCGCTCGCCTCGCCTCGCCGCCTCCCGCCCGCCTCCGCCTGCCGGCTGGGCTACACGTCTCCGGCCTTTCCCGATGTTGGCCAGAGAGGTGGGATGAGGAGGCGGAGGAGGAGGAGGAGGAGGAGGAGGAGGAGGCGGAGGAGGAGGCGGAGGAGGAGGAGGAGGAGGAGGAGGAGGTGGAGGAGGAGGAGGAGGAGGAGGCGGAGGAGTGAGGAGGAGGAGGAGGAGGAGCAGGGAGAGCCTGGCGCCTCCCCGTCAGGCGCTGCCCGTGCTCCAGCTGCTGCGCGCGCGGGGGGGGGCCGCACGCAGCACCGCAGCGGGACGGGTTGGGCATGCGAAGAAGTGCTGCTGCGTCGCGAGGTGCCAAGCAGCGCTGGCCCGTCTTGGCTCCGACCGCGCTGGACGCGACAGGGCCGCTGCAGAGCAGCTGGCAGGGCCAGAGAGCGACGGTCTTGGCATCGCTCGGGCGTGTGCATTGTTTCTCGGCGAGGCCAGCGCCAGAAAGTTTGGACCATCTAGGAGCATCCAGGATCATCTTGCGGGGTAAGCACACACGACACCGGAAACCCTCTCCCGGCCCCCTCACTTGGCCGGCGGGGCGCCAGGGCCGCGGCGCCGCCGTGGCCGCAGGACTTCGGCGTCCGAGAGCTGGACGACCACAGCGTCAAGAAGCTGATCCAGCGAGGGCCTCTGAGCCTCTGATCCCGCCGGGCGGCGCGCAGTCAATATCGTTCAGCCGACCCCCATCTCCATCCCCCTCCCCATCCGGACCCTCACCATCTCAGCACTCCAGTGGGGGATACTGCACCTCGAAGCCCGAAAGGGGACAGCCCAGTAGTATCCCCATCTCGGTCCGGCCAGTGGGGCCCAGGCCACGCCGTTGGGGATCAGGGGTCGAAGCCGGCGATGCTCGCTGATCCCGCTGGGCGGCGGCGGCGCGTCGCGGGGGTCGGCCTGGCGCACCGATGGAGGGCTCTCCTTCTCCTCCCCCTCCTCCTCTTCCTCCTCCCTTTCCTCCTCCTCCTCATCCTTATCCTCCTCCCCCTGCCCCTCCTCCTCCTCCTCCTCCTCCTCCTCCTCCTCTTCCTCCTCCTCCTCCTCGTCTTCCAGCACCTTTTTTCTTCAGAACCCTTTCTCTTCACGGGTGCATCATCCTTGGCGACGTACCCAATCCATATGCAGCATGTGCGACGATTTTTCAGGGATCCTGGCATGACGTAGAACGCGATGTGGCTTGAAGTTTTCCTGGGGTGCTTACGCGTTGCACGGCTCAGGGGACATGTGTGAATGAGGCAGTATTTCGGGATATGGCATGGCCAGAGAGCAGGGGGGAAAACAAGTTGACGGAATCGAATATGATGGAAGGGTAGGAGAGAGAGAGAGAGAGAGAGAGAAACAAAAAAGAGAAAGAAAGAGAGAGAGAGGGAGAGCGAGAGACAAAGGAAGTCATGGAGGGCATTAAGGACGAGGTCTAAGGAGCTTATGACGGCGGCCACAGTGATCGTACTTCGCAGCCCCCAGGAACAGCGAGGTCGCGTTTGGATCTGGGTCGAGCAGAATTCCGCTGGACTTCCCAGGAGCCCACGAAAGTGGCGACCCCCCAGGAAGGTCGAGGTCTTGTTTGGGTCCGCAGGACGCCACTCCGCTGGACCTCCCAGCAGCCCACGCATGTGGCCACAATTTTGCAGTTGGCAGCCTCCAGGGAGGGCGGGGTCGTGTCTGGATCTCGGTAGAACAGTACACTGCTAGACCTCCCAGGAGCTCGCGAACGTGGAGATAGTTTCTCAGTTCGCAGCCCCCAGGGAGCCCACGAAATCGGCGACAGCTTCGCAGTTGGCAGCCCCCAGGGACGGCGAGGTCTCATTGATTAGGACCGCGCTACGCAGGACCTCCCAGGAGCCCACGAAAGTGGCGTCAGTTTCGCAGTTCGCAGCTCCTAGGGAAGGCGAGGTTTCATTCTTGCCTGGGTAGCGCCACACCAAGCTGCCCCCCCGAGCTCGCGAAAGTGGCGACATCTTCGCAGTCCACAGCCTCCAGGGACGCCGAGGTCGCATTCTTGTCTGGGTAGCCCTGCACTGCGCTGGACCCCCAGGAGCCCACGCACCAGTTATGCAGTTCGCGGCCCCCAGGGACGGCGAGGTCGAATTCTTACAATTACGGGTGGCACTGTGCTACGCTGGCCCCCCAAGAACCTACGAAAATGACGACAGCTTCGCAGCTCGCAGCCCCCCTGGGACGGCGAGGTCTCGTTCTGGTCTGGGTGGCATCACGGCGCTGGACCTCGCGGGAGCCCACGAAAGTTGCGACAGTCACGTAGTTCACGGCCCCCAGCGACGGCGAGGTCTCACTCTGATGATTCTGGGTAGCACCCTGCTACGCTGCCCCCCTCCCCAAAGAGCCTACGAAAGTGGCGACGACTACGCAGTTCGTTCCCACCCAGGACGACGAAGTCTCAGTCTGGTCTGGGTAGCACGCACTGCGCTTGACCTCCAGTCGCTCACGAAGGTGGCGACAGCCAGGAGCCCATGGAAGTCGCAACAGTGTCGCAGTTCGCAGCCCCCAGGGACGGCGAGGTCGAATTCTGATTTAAGTAGCACCGCGCTGCGCTGGACCTGCCAGGCCCCCACGAAAGTGGAGAACGTTACGCAGTTCGCAGCCCCAGGGCGCCCAGAATTGTTCAAGTCGGTTGGTGGTGACCCTCAAGGTTCTGCCGTGTTCTCCTTTTTCTCGTCCTCTTCCTCCTCTCTTCCTCCCGCTCCTTCTCCCTGTGCCGGTCTGTTCGCCCGCTTCGGCTCGTGCGGCGTTCCCTGTCTGCCTGGGAATATTTTGTTTCGCAGTGTGGTGGACATGCGATTCTGGGATTGCGATCCGTCCTCTTCTGTTTACACAAACTTTGTCGTCACAAAATGCTACGCTTGACCTCACAGGAGCCCACGACAGTGGCGTCAGTTTCGTGGTTCGCAGCTCCTAGGGAATGCGAGGTTTCATGTTTGCATAGGTAGCACCGCACTGAGCTGTCCCCCAGGAGCCCACGAAAGGGGCGACAGTTTCGCGCTTCGCGGCCCCCGAGGACGGCGAGGCCTGCTTCTGAGCCGGGTGGCACCGCACCGCGCAGGACAATCCAAGGAGTCCACGAGACGCGGCGACGGCCGCGCAGCTTGCGGTCCCAGTGGGCGGCGAGGTCGGATCCTGACGTGGGCAAGTGCCGCAGGGCGCAGGACCCCCCGGGAACCGAGGAGCTCGGCGGCCGCTTCGCCGCTCACGGGACAGAGAGAAGGGCAGGGCGCGCCTCTCTCCTGCTCGCCCTCCTCCTACTCCTGCTCCCCCTCCTCCTCCTCCTCCTCCTCCTCCTCCTCCTTCACCTCGTTCCTCCTCCTCCTCCGCTCCACCTCCTCGCCTCCTCTCCTCCCAGGCTCAAGGGCCTTGAGCTCTGGCGAAACACTTGGCCTAGCCCTCATGGGCGGCGAGCTCTAATTCTCATCTGGTTAGGACGGCGCTGTGCTGGACCTCTCGGGAGCCCATGGAGGTGTCGACAGTTTCGCACATGGGCGGCGAGTTCTAGTTTCTATTGAAGGTCGGACGGCGCTGTGCTGGATTTCGCAGAGGCCAATGGAAGCGTCGACGGCTTCGCAATCGTGCAGTGGTGGCAGTTCTCAAGCCGAAACGAGAACCCTGCGCAGGAGGGTTGAAACACACTTTCGAAGATTTCGGCAGGAGGCCATGATTGGCCATTATCCCCCCCCCCCCCGCACCGTCTAGCTCCCATCTTTCTCATTATCACCGCCCCCATCATCACTACAGTCGGCTTCGTCGTGGGTTCTGTTACCATCATAATAATCATCTCCATGTTCGTCTTTATCAGCGTTCTCATCCTCAGCCTCACCTATCATCATCACCATCCCCATTACCATCACCAACAACATTACCACCACCATCATCACCATCACCATCACCATCACCATCACCATCACCATCATCATCATCATCATCAACATCATCATCATCATAACCACATCGTCATCATCAACGTCATCTTAATTGTCGTTATCGGCGCCGCCACCAGCATCACCATCGCCACCGCCATCAGTATTGTCATTCCCGCCACCACCATCATCATCATCATCATCATCATCATCATCCTCATCATCATCATCATCACAATCAGCATCAGCATCGCCATCACCACCACCATCGTTACCATCACCATCATCAGCATCCTCATCATCATCATCATCATCATCATCATCATCATCATCATCATCACCGTCATCATCATCATCATCATCATCATCATCACCGTCATCAGCATCATCACCATCATCCTTCATCCTTCCGTTCCTCCACTCCAGGTCTGTGGCCCCCGTCCTGAAGCGCAACTACGTGGTGATGGAGGTGCGGCTGGGGGTGGGGGGGGGAGCGACGGGTGTGCCGCCCTGCGCACCCAGCTCCCGGGCCGCGTTTCTCGCTCACCGCTTGAAAACGGTCAGAGGGGGGTAGTCATTTCGGGATCGCTCGTCGTCCTCCTCCTTCTCCTCATTCTCCTCCTCCTCTTCCCTCTCCTTCTGCTCCGTTGTCCTTCGGGGAAGGACGGGTTGAGTAGGAAAGGGGTGGGAGGAGGTAGGAGAGATTGTGGGCGAGACCGGGCGACGGATGATGATGATGATGATGATGATGATGATGATGATGATGATGATGATGATGATGATGATGATGATGATGATGACGATGATGATGATGACGATGATGATGATGATGATGAGGAGGAGGAGGAGGATGAGGATGAGGATAAGGATGAGGATGGGGGTGCTGATGATGCTGATGATGAGGATGCTGATGATGATGATGATGATGATGATGATGATGGTGACGGTGATGATGGTGATGATGCTGATGACGATGATGATGTCGATGATGATGATGCTGATGATGATGCTGATGATGATGGTGATGATAACGATTGTGATGATGATGGTTTTGATGACGACTACGATGATGATGACGGTGATGATCATGATGCTGTTGACGGTTTTGATGGTGACGACGATGATGATGCTGATGCAGAATACGATGATGATAGTGACGATGATGATGATGATGATGATGATGATGATGATGCTGATGGTGATGCATCTATTGCTGTTGCTGCTGACTATGATGGTGCTGATGCTGATGCTGATGCTGATTCTGGTGGTAATGCTGGTGGTTGTGGTGGTACTGTCGATGCTTCTGATGACGATGGTGATGATGATGCTGATGCGGATGATTACGATGATGCTGATGCTGATTATGCTGATCATGACGATGTTGCTGATGATGCTGATGATGATGGCGATGATGACGATGATGATAATCATGATAATGCTGATGAAGCTGCTGTTGTTGATGATAACGTTGATCATGAGGATGATGATACTGATGCTGATGACGATTCTGGTGATGCTGATGATGATGATGATGATGATGTTGATGTTGATGACACTGCTGAAGATGATTATGATGCTGACGATGTTGATGCTGATGATGATGCAGATGATGATGTTGATGATGAGTATTATGATGATTGTGCTGATGATGATGCTGCTGCTGATGATGATGACGATGGCGATTATGATGACGATGACGATGACGATGATGATGATGCTGCTGATGATGATGATGATGATGATGATGATGCAGATGATGCAGATGATGATGATGATGATGATGATGATGATGATGATGATGAGGAGGCTGATGATGGTGATGATGATGAGGCTGATGATGATGATAATGATGATGACACAGACAGACAGAAGCCATAGACCAACGTCGTGCGGCAAACCACAAAAAACGAAAACAGCTGGCAAACACATCAGAGTGCGAGAATCTTATCTCGGCACTTGCGGGCTCTGTACTGGGCATGGTCTAAGAGTTGCCGGGTGGTCCCGAAAACCTTTGAACAGGCAGGGCAAGTCGTAGTCCCTGCTGGGATCACGGACGCCACAGGTTTCCGATGGCCGTGAACCCTCATCCTGTGCGTAGCCACGGCTTTGCTGCTACTGAAAAGTTTGGCACACTCCTGGCACGGAACTGTAAGGGGCTCTGTGGAATCGTCGGCAAAAGGCGCCGATCCGATCGTGACGTCCCGGGCGAGACGTTTCCACTTCCACCAGTCGGCAGCTATGAATTCTGTCCACGCGGCTGCTCCTTTTGCTGAGCTTGGGTCCCCTAGCACATCTAGGTCGCGCCGGGCTGGTGGCGGCGCGAGCCTGGGAATCGCCTGGAGGTCGGCGAGAACTCGTTGGGACCACGAGGAGGGGGAGGCCGAGTGAGGCAGGAGGAGGGCCTGCAGTGCAGGGAAGGGCTTACAAATCAAGCTGGATATGTACAACAGGCGGCGCCGCCTGAGTATATTGTCTACAGAAGGCAGCTGTAATTTCTGCAGAAGCGCCAAATCGCTTAGGCGTGGTTTCCCAGGGATTGGAAAACGGCTCTCATGGGCTATCCTGCGCACGGCGCGCAAGTAAAATGTGTGCAACCACTGTATGTGAGTGCGCGAAGGCGTCCACAGCTCAGAATTGTAGAATAGCACTGAAAGGACGAGAGACTGGAAAAGTCGCAGCCTGAGCTGCACGCTCATGTGTTGCGCTGCGAAGACTTTCCGCACCAAGCTATGGTACACCGCGGATGCTTTCCGCAGGCGTGCACGTATGTCCAGGGCAGAGGACGCGACACCGGACTGCATGGATCCTAGGTGCTTGTTTTCGCTCACAACGGAACACTCGATGCCTGGGATCCCAAGCACGGTCAAAGCAGGGCGCTCGCCGATCATCGCCTCTGCCTTAGCGGCCCGGGCGCCTTTGCCCCTCCACATGATGAGGGCCTCTGACTTGCCAGGCTTCCAATTCAGCTGCATGCCGTGCTTCTCCATGGTGGTGTGCGCCGCTTCGGCCACCAGGGCGACGTTGCGGTTGAGGCTCGCGTTGTCCTCGCCCACGATCAGCACGGCCTCGTCGTCGACGTACGTGACCTCGCCAACAGGCACGGTGTGCGTTGGGAAGACGCCGGGCTGGTGGGCCCATGGCGGGCCGCTGGGCTCGCATTCCGCAGCGAATGTGAGGTTGAGCTTGTCAAGCGCTGCTCGAAGCTCTCCCAAGGCCACGCTATACACAATATTGATGATGATGATGATGATGATGATGATGATGATGATGATGATGATGATGATGATGGTGATGGCGATGGTGATGGTGATGGTGATGGTGATAGTAGTGCTGGTGGTGATGATGATGATGATAATGATGATGCTGCTGCTGCTGCGGCGCTGCTGCTGATGACGAGGAGGAGTTGGAGGAGGAGGGAGGAGGAACAAGTGTACGTTGAGGATGATGATGAGCAGCAGCAGCACTTGCAGCAAGCAGCAGGAGAGAGTGGCAGAGGAGCAACTGGAGAGGAAATGATGAGGGACGAGGCAAACAATGAAACCGATCAACAGGGTCGGGAGGCGTAGCGAGGGTTTTTTGGAGCAGTCGGAGCACGAGGAGGAGATGGAGGAGGAGGGTATATGGGGCCAGATTAAAACATTGGATGGCAGTATCGCTATGAGTGCGAGTAGGACTTAATGACGAGACGGGATCCGGCTGCCTCCGGCAAACCCCGCCACCGTGCCTGTGCAATAGCGCAGCAGGAAGGAGAACGAGTGTAGTAACAGCGCAAGTCCGACGACTGGTCTGAACTGGGAGGGGCGTGATCTCGATCTTGTCTTCGTCCCCGCGGTATGAAGGAAGAAGAGTAGGAGGGGGAGGAGGAGGAGGAGGAGGAGGAAGAGGAGGAGGAGGAAAAGGAGGAGGAGGAGTATATCGAAAATATGAAGACGATGAGGAAAAGGACTCATGGGTCCCTTTCTGGGGGCTTCCTGGATGCTTCCCGTGATTGGGGGCCTCTGGGGTGCCTCCTGGGGCCTCTCAGGTGCTTCTTGAGGCCTCCAGGGCCGTCTTACGGAACTCTTGGCTCGTCTGGCGCTTCCGAATGCCGTTTTTGGGGTTTGTGTGGGCTGTTTTGATGCTTTCTTGGGGGAGGGCCGCCTTGGAACCCACTTGGGAGCCTCTTGGGGGATTTTGGGGTCCTCTTGTGCCGATTTGGGGCCCTCTGGGGAGCCTCGCGGGCCGTCTTGGAACTATCTTGAAGGCCTGTTTGGCCGTCTTGGGCAATCGGATGCCCAACCAGGCGAGAACTTCAAACTCCTGCAAACACCAAATGGAGTTCAATGATTTTTGCCTCCTGCCTTTTGGTCGTCTTGAGAGCCCCTTGAGCCGTCTTGGGCCATCTTGAGCTGTTTTGGTGTCGTCTTGACTGTCTTGGAAACCATCTTGGAGGCCATCTTGGCCGTCTGGAGGCCGGAGAGAGCGCAAGGAAGCGATTTCAGGGAGGGCGGTCGATGCGTGCGCGTGCGAACCAAGGGGGGGGGGTCGGCCCCAGAAAACATTAACACATTTCAGAGGGACCACAGGAGCATTTTAACACGCCTACCCTGTGCATGCACGGTGGCACATCTGCCGAGAACTGTGGGGACGGACAGGGGTGGCACAGATGGTCATGAGGATCAATCAGGATACTATGACTGCGTCTAACAGTATATTGCTTGATACGTTGACTAGGATGGTGATGATGGTGGTGGTGACTCTGAAGCGTACCACGGACAACACGTATATGACACTTGTGGTACTGTTATGGATGACTATATTGACGTTGGTGATGGTGATGATGACGATGCTGATGATGATACTGATGATGATGATGCTGATGTGATGATGATGCTGATGATACTAACGATGATGATGTTGACGCCGATGCTGATGATGCATCTGATTCTGTTGATGATGATGATGCGGATGATGATGATGATGATGATGATGATGATGATGATGCTGATGACGATGCTGATGGATACGATGATGTCGTTGATGATGTGATTCTGACGATGACGATGATTATGATGCTGGTGTTGATGCTGATGATGAAGATGCTGATGATGCTGGTGATGCTTAGGATGATGTGGCCAATGATGACGATGCTGCTGCTGCTGATGATTGTAACGACGAGGATGCTGATGATGATGACGATTCTGCTTATGACGATGCTGATGCTGCTGATGATGATTACGATGATGATTATACTGATGCTGATAAAGTTGATGATGCGGATGATGATACTGATGCTGATGATGACGGTGCTGATAATAATGACGACGCTGACGATGAAGATGGCGATGCCGACGCTGCTGATGATGATGATGCTGATGACGATGCTGCTGATGATGATGATCACGACGTGATGATGATGATGATGATGATGATGCTGATGCTGCTGATGATGATGATGATGATGCTGATGCTGATGCTGATGATGCTGATGCTCATGCTGATAATGACGATGGCGATGGCGATGACGATATTTATGATGACGATGCTGGTGATGATAATGCTGCTGATGATGATAATGACGATGGTGGTGGTGGTGGTGATGCTGACGCTGATGATGATGATGCTGATGTTGCTGATGATGCTGATGATGCTGATGCTGATGCTGATGATGCTGATGCTGATGCTGATGCTGATGCTGCTGCTGATGTGGATGCTGCTGGTGATGATGATGGTGGTGATGATGATGCTGTTGATGCTGATAACGTTGATGCTTCTGCTGCTTCTGTTGATGATGATGATCATGCTGCTGCTGCTGACGATGATGCTGCTGCTGCTTATGATGATGATGATTATGAGGCTGATGATGACGACGATCACGACGATTATCCTGCTGCTGCTGATGCTGATGCTGATGCTCATGATGGTGAGGATGATGCTGACGATGATGATGCTGATGTTGATGTTGATGATGATGATGATGATGATGATGATGATGATGATGATGATGATGCTGATGAGTATGAGGATGGTGGTGGTGGTGGTGGTGACGACGACGATGACGATGATGCATGTTGTCTAAGCCCCAGAGGGCGCGTGCGGGTGACCGCTGACAGGGCGATCCCTTGGAGGTGGTGGAGGCGCATGTTGCACGCACCATGGTGACGCATCCAGTTGTCGCGTGAACTCGCTCATCATCTCCTCTCTCCCCCGTTTCCCTTCGCTGCTGCTATTCCTTCCCTCTCTCTCACTCCTGCTTCGATCCCCCCGCCCCCGCCTCATCCTCATCCCCTCCTGCCTTCCCTCCCCCCCTCGCTCCCTGTTTTTTTCTTGCTCTTTCTCTCTCTCTCTCTCTCTCCCCCTCCTCTGCCGCTCCCCCCCCCCCGTCTTCACCCCTTTCCTTCCCCTTCCCCCTTCCCCTCCCCCTTCCCCCCTCCCCCTCCCCCTCTTTCCCCTCCCTCCTCTCCCCTTCCCTCTCCCTCCCTCCTCTCCCTTCGCTCCCTCCCCTTCTCTCCCCTCCCCTCTTCTCCCCTCCTCTCTCCCTCCCTCCCTCCTCTCCCCCTCCCCTCTGCCGCTGCTGCTGCTGCTGCTGCCGCTGCTGCTTCCTCCCTCCCCTGCCCTTCCTGGCCCACGCGCCCGCCAGCCGCCCCCTCCGCACCCGCCCGAGAGAGGTGCAGAGCAACCTGCTGGCCGAGGACCGCTCGAGGATGCTGAGGTACTTCGAGGGGCCCGAGTTCAAGAAGGCGTGGCCGCCAGCGGGCGGGCGTGGAGGGACAGGAGGAGGAGGAGGAGGGAGGAGAAGAACGAGAACGAGGATGGAGGGAGAGAAGGGACGGCAGGAAAGGATGAGGAGGAGGAGGAGGAGGAGGAGGAGGAGGAGGAGGAGGAGGAGGAGGAGGAGGAGGAGGAGGGTGAGGAGGAGGAGGACGAGGAGGAGGAGGAGGCGGAGGCGGAGGAGGAGGAGGAGGACGACCAGTGTAAACCCAAGACTCCCCAACGGTATTGCGGTACACCCTCCCTGCAAGTTCCTCCACCGGAAGTGCCCCGTTGGAAGACAACCGTTTGAAAACCCGAATTTTTGCCACAACGCCATTCCCAGGACTTGAGCGCCGCGAATTATCGTTACTGCTGCATTTGGACGATCCTGAATCGTACCAGAAAGTCACGGACTTCAGCACCTCGAATCTACGTAACTGTTGCGCCCTGACATTCCGACATCGTGCCAAAACTCCGCCGTATGTGGGACGTCAACCAGAATAATCGTTGAAACTGTTGCAGACTTCTACTTGAAAACGACCCGCCCTCTATCCGCGAAGCTCTTGCAAATGTGTAAACGAAGTTGCGCGGCGCTAAGGCGAGAGCCACATTTTGAAATGAAACCGCCCTCAATCCGTGCAGCTCTTGCAAATTTCAAGAAACGAGTTTGCGCAGCGCCAGGGCGAGAGCCACATTTTGAGCACCTCCCGCCCTCCATCTGTGAACTGTTGCTAGTTTTTTAGCCTCAGGCTCATACGTGGTGAGGAAGTCTCCGGCGAAACGCCTGGCCCGCCCCTCGGACTGGCCTCGGGGTGCGACAGGGACGAGTTATTCAGAAGGAAAGGAATGTAGGAAGAGGAGGAGGATGAGGAGGAGGAGAGGGAGGAGGACGAGGAGGAGGAGGAGGAACAGGAGGAGGAGGACAAATAACATTACTAGTAATAGCAATAGCAATACTAATGATAACAAGACAAATAAGCAGAGGAAGAGGAGGAGGCGGAGGAGGAGGAGGCGGAGGAGGAAGAGGAGGAGGAGGGGGAGGAGGTAAGGTAAGGTAAGGCACTTGGGGAGAGGCCTCGGCGGAAGCAGCAACACTACTGCTTGAGACTTTGTAGAGGATGAGGATGAGGAGGAGGGGGAGGAGGAGTATGAGGAGGAGGAGGAGGAGGAGGAGGACGACGAGGAGGAGGACGAGGACGAGGAGGAGGAGGAGGAGGACGAGGAGGAGGAGGAGGGCGAGGGGGAGGAGGAGCTCCTCTCCTCCTCCCGCCCTCGGCCGCGGCGCTCTGCGGGAGGTTGCGCTGGTGGTCGTGGGCGAGCCGCCGGCCGCCTACAAGGCAGCCGGACCTGCCGCTGACGCCTTGGCGGGGGAGGGCAGAGGAGGGAGGCGAAGGAGCCGCGATCCTGGCGAGTGAGCCGGGCGCTTAGGCGATCGCAAACATGGATCAAGGGGGCGTGGATTAGCGACGGGTCCCGTTTCCACCGGAAATCTCGGATTTCCGCCGCCGAACGAGGCGGCACCGGCCGCATGTGGGGAGGGCACCTCCCCGGATCCATGGATTTGTTGACCGCGCGCCACATCCATGGATCGCTAATCCATGTTTGCGCGTCCCCGATGGGCGCTTAGGCGAGAGTCCCATTTTTAACCCCCCTCCTCCGCCAGTCTGATAGCTACAGGCTTCAAGTTTCGGTGTCATGCACGGGGAGGATGTCGCACGCGAGACGTCCCACCCGCCCGGCACGTCTGCTGGTCAGACGAGGAGGGGCCACTCATAGACAAAAGGGATGGAGGCGCACGCATTTCTCCGCCGCCACGCGTTCTGCGTGCGCGCGCGTCTATGGTCTGAGCGCTGGGCCCCTATGCTACTTTTTCGTCGTCTTCTTTTTCCCCTCACTCCTGTCTCACTCCTCTAACTTCTGCGCGTCCTCCTCGACCCTCTGGACCTCCTCCTCTTCCTCCTCATCTTCCTTTACCTTTTCGTCCTCCTCCTCCTCTTCCTCATCCTCCTCCTCCTCTTCCTACTCCTCCTTCTCCCTCCCTCTCCTCTTCCTACTCCTCATGCTCCTCCTTCCCCTCCTCCTCCTCCTCCTCCTCGTCCTCCTCCTCCCTCTCCCCCTTCGTTCACGAGGCTAAAGTCCAGGAGATGCTCCTTAAGGACAAGAGGATCCGCCGGGGAAGCGGGCCGAGGGGCCCTTCCCAGGGGGCAGGATGCGGTGGGAGGGTAATGGGATGGGCTTAGGGGAGGAAGATGATGAGGAGGAGGACAGGATGAGGAGCAGGAGGAGGATGAGGAGGGGGAGGAGGAGGAGGAGGAGGACGGGGAGGAGGAGGAGGACGAGGAGGAGGAGGAGGGTGAGGTCGAGGAGGTCGAGGAGGTCGAGGAGGTCGAGGACGAGAACAATAATGAGTAGAACAAGGAGGACGAGTAGGATGAGTGTGAGGATAAGGGTGAGGATGAGGAAGATGATGATGCTGATGATGTTGATGATGATGCTGATGATGCTGATAATGATGCTTATGATGATGATGCTGCCGATGATGATGCTGACTATGATGATGATACTGAGGGTGCTGATGCTTATGATGAGTATGATGATGATTATGATGATGATGACGATGATGGTGGTGACGAGGATGCTGCTGCTGATGATGATGCTGGTGCTGATGCTGATGATGATGCTGATTATGATGATGACCATTATGATAATGATGCTGATTATGAGGATGATGGTGATACTGCTGACTATGATGATGCTGCTGATGATGATGATCACGATGATAATGCGGATCAGGATGATGATGGTTATGAAGAAGATGATGATGATGATTACGAGGATAACGAGACCGACGAGGATGATGATGCGGATGCTGCTGATAATGATGATGCTGATGATGCTGGTGTTGATGCTGTTTATGATGATTATGCTGATACTGTTGATGAGGCTGATGATGTTGGCGCTGATGACATGCTGATGTTGGTGATGGTGATGATGATGATGATGATGATGGTGATACTGCTGACTATGATGATGCTGCTGACGATGATGATGATGATGATGATGATGATGATGATGATGATTATGATGATGATGATGATGATGATCACGATGATAGTGCGGAGCAGGATGATAATGATTATGATGATTATGAGGATGACGAGGAAGAGGAGGATGACGAGACCGACGAGGAAGCGGACGCGGATGCTGATGTGATAACGCTGTTGATGTTGCAAATAATGACGGCGACGATCAAGCTGACGACGCGATGATGTTGCTGATGCTGCTGCTGCTGCTGATGATGATGATGATGATGATGAGGTTGTTGGATGATGATGTGGATGATGATGAGGAAAATGATGCTGATGCTGTTGCTGATGCTGTTGATGCTGTTGATGCTGATGATGTTGATGTTGGTGATGGTGATGATGGTGACGATGATGAGGATGATGAGGATGAGGTTGATGAGGATGATGATAGTGAGGGTATGTTTGATAAGCATGATGATGCTGATGATGAGACTGCTGCTGACGACGACGTTGCTGATGATGATGCTGATGCTGATGATGCTGATGCTGATGATGCTGATGATTACGACGATGAAGGTGGTGACGATGATGATGCTGATGATGCTGCTGATCCTGAGGACAGGTAGCAGTAGCAGCAGCAACAATCGTAGTAGTAGTGGTAGTAGAAGTAGTAGTAGTAGTAGTAGTAGTAGTAGTAGTAGTAGTAGTAGTAGTAGTAGTAGTAGTAGTAGTAGTGGTAGTAGTAGTCGTAGTCGTAGTCGTAGGAGTATGATGCTGATAATGCTGCTGATGATGATGATGGTGATCATGATGTTGCTGATGGTGATGTTGATGATGATGATGATGATGATGATGATGATGATGATGCTGATGATGATGGCGATGCGGACGATGACGGTGACGACGATGCTGATGCTGATGCTGATGACGGCGATGACGATGCTGATACTGTCGATGACGCTGATGCTGATGGCGATGACGATGACGACGACGATGATGATGCTGCTGCTGATGATGACGGCGATGATGAAGCTGATGATGCGATGATGTTGATGATGATGATGATGATGATGATGATGATGATGTTGCCGATGATGCTGCTGCTGCTGATGATGATGACGCTGCTGACGATGCTGGTGATCGTGATGATGATACTGGTGATGATGCGAAAGGTGATGATTAGGGCGATGATGGTGAAGCTAGTGATGATGCTGATGCTGATTATGGTGATGCTGATATTGTTACTGAGATTGATGACGATGCCGACGATGATGATGATGCTGATGATGGTGATGATGATGACGATGCTGTTGATGATGTTGATGATGATGATGAAACTGATTGTGATGATGATGTTGATGGTTATTGATGAAGATGCTGCTCATGATGATGATGAGGATGATGAGGCTGGCTGTGATGATGATGCTGATGGTACTGATGCTAATGATTACGATGATGCTGCTGATTACGATGATGATGTTGCTGATGATGCTGCTGCTGATGATGATAATGATGATGCTGGTGTTGACGACAATGATGAGGATGATGATGATGCTGATGTTGTTGATGCTGCTGATGATCATGCTGTTGTTGGTGATGATGATGTTGAAACTGAAGATGAGGATGCTGATGATGATGACGATGATGATGATGATGATGATGATGATGATGATGAGATACTGGCGATGCTGCTGATGATGCTGATACTGATGCTGATGCTGATCCTGATGATCATGATGCTGATGATGATGATACTGATGATGGTGATCGATGCTGCTGCTGATGATGCTGATGCGGATGATGATGATGATGATGATGATGATGATGATGATGATGATGATGATGATGATACTGATGATGATGCTGATGATGATGCTGATGGCGATGATGTTGATGATGATGGTGATGATGATGCTGATGATGATGCTGATGATGATGGTGCTTATGCTGTTGATGATGATGATGATGATGATGATGATGATGTCGCTGATGACGATGATGATGATGATGATGCTGCTGATGATGATGATGCTGAAGATGATGCTGATGCTGATGCTGCTGCTGATGATGATGATGATGATGATGATGTTGTTGATGATGATGATGATCATGATGATGATGATGATGATGATGATGATGATGCTGATGATGATGATGCTGATTATGACGATCATGATGATGATGATGATGATGATGATGATGATGATGATGATGATGATGATGATGATGATGATGATGATGATGATGGGGAGCTGGAGGAGGAAGAGCAGGAGGAGGAAGAGGAGGAGGAGGAGGAGCGTGGCAGGAGCGAGCAGGAAGGATGAGTGAGTGAGGACTGTGGGAGGTCTTCGTCGGACGCAGGCATGATGCTGGGTGTGCCCTGTCTGTGCAACTCTTGTGCAGGCAATCAACACGATGTGAGGGCAACTTGAAGCAGAGAACGAACAAGGAAGAGAGGGCGCGCCTCCTAGGCCTCGGAGAAGAGGCCCGAGAAGCGGAGGTGCCCTTCTGGGGCTGCCCACGGCGCACGGACCAGGTGCTCGCGGGCGCGCGCCTGGGCGCGTGCAGAGCGGCGGAGTCGAACCTCGGCGCGGTTGGCGGCGATCCTCACCCGCTGCACGGCCAACAGTCTTGGGGGGGAGGGGGAGGGAGAGGGAACGAGAGGAGAGGGAGGGGGAGCGAGAGGGGGATAGGGGGAGGGATAGGGGAGGGGGAGGGGGAGGGGGAGGGAGAGGGATGGGGAGGGAGAGGGAGGGGAAGGGGGGAGGGGAGGGAACGGGAGAAGCCTCCAGAGCCCACCGCGCGGCCCCAAAGGGGCTGGCTGGAGGGGGACGCGATCAAATCGGAGTCTGCGGGCTCGGTGGCCGCGGGCGGAGCAATCACGGCACCTCCCTCCCGTGGAGGCTCCGCTCACAGGGGTGCAGCACGCGCTCTGCCTCTTCCAGGGCCAGCGGGCGAACGCGGGCCGGGGCACCGACAAGCTGGTCGACCCGTTGGCTAGATCGTTCGGGGTTTCCCGCGAAGTCGGGGCAAGGGCACGATTCACGTCTTCAGCACGGCACAGAGAAATGCATGAGACCTTCTGTATTGCCAGCCTGGTCGAATTTTCTTGGTTGAACATTTTTTTGAGCACTTCAACATCCTTCAAAAACGTAAGGGATATCTCAGGTGTTGACCTCCGTCATCGGGCCCTCTTGGGCCGTGTTAAGGCTCTCTTGGGGTCCTGTTCGGTATTTTTGGGGCCCTCCTGAGCGTCTTGGGCCCGCTGACTAGGCTCGGCAGGGACGTCCAGGAGGCCCAGAAACTCCGGGAGACCCTCTCTCTGCACGGGTGTCCAGGAGGTCCAGGGGGCCAGGGATCCATGGGGTCCAGGAGGTCCCTGGGGCCCAGGATCCAGGGGGTCAAGGGGGGGTTCTGGGTTCCGGGTTATAAAGATCTAAGAGTAGGAATCGATTCCCCAAACAGTGCTCGCACTTAGAGGTTCTTATTTCTGTCTGCCGCTCTGGCGGCTATGTTGCTGCCGTCGCCTCGTCGCCGCTCGTCGTCTGGGCCTGTCTGCCGGTCTGGCGGCTAAGTTGCCAGTGTCGCCGTCCCGTCGCCGCCTCGTCGCCGCCCGTCATTTGGGCCTGTCTGCCGGTCTGGCGGCTACGTTGCTGCCGTCGCCGCCCCGTGGCCGCCTCGTCGCCGCCTCGTCGCCGTGAAAAACATAGATTGCACCACATATAGTATCGTATTTTGAAGAAGAATAGCCTCTACCCCCCACCAGGAATATCGGTACTCCTTTTCGTATTGCAATTTGCATATGATTCTGCTCCATCGTCCATTTGGAGTATGAATTCGCACCATCCCAGGGTGGTTGGTATCCCGTCCCCCGCCACCCTCTGCAAAAAATATTATGCGCGCGCACTCGTTCATCAAATCTCATCCGTTAGCAAAAAGCCTTTCCAAACAATGAGACGAAATGCGCACGCGCGCGTCGTCGCGCGCGTGCCGAAATCCTTCAAAAACCTTTGGTTTCGTAAGGATTTCAAAATCGAGTGTCCAGACACATAGAAAGACACAGGGTTTCGTAGACGGATGTTCAAACAAAACTTGCGCGCGCTCTTGCGAATTCTTAAGAAAACCATAAGGTGTTCATCATTCTCAGAGAATGCTA